AATCATTATAAGTATTTAGATATACATGTGTATAAGTTTATTAACTACGAAAAAAAGTAAATAATTTTGAATATTATTTAAAGTTAATCTTGTTAGTGGACATTGGATGAATTTTTTTAGTTAGATATGTTTATTTCACCCATGGTTATCATTTTTACATAACCTAATGTTAGGAACTCTAAAAGGAAAGAGTCAAGCCAAGAGTAGTAACACTACTTATTTTCTAATAGAGTAGGTGTAATGAACCTAAGTTTATAATCTTGTTGAATATAAGTTGCCATAGGATTTCATAAACATGAGTAGTCAAATGCACTTATACAATTGTATAAAACTTAGACCAATATGTATATTCATGTGATGTGTGCAAACTTTTTATAATCAAGGGCTGAGATATGGCGTCAAGTACATGTGTGTGTGTATATACACACATATGTTCAGTGTAAAAGTGTGTAACATTTGGCCAAATGTATAAATATGTGTGAATGGGTGAGTTTGCCTAAATGTGTTATAAGGGCAACTTGACGGCCAAACTTATGTATAAGCAAGATATTAATTGTGTAAATGCTCAATTAGGTGTAAAGTGTCCTATTGAATGTGGTCAAAGTCTTAAAAATGGCAAATGATACGTGTTGCTCACAGCAAGTGCACGGGTTGTAGCAAGTAATATAATGAAAGTAAAGTATCGTTTTCTCAAGGATTTGTTCAAAAATAATGATCAAGCAAAAGACTAAGCAAATTCAATCAAGTTGAGCTATACATATTTAGGTGAAAATGATTTTATAAATGAAACTAACACTAGAAAATAAAGAAAGTGATTGATTCACAAATTTCAAACACAAATTGAGACCTAGGATTATTTATCCCCCTTACATTTCATAACACCAAAATCATCTCCTCTCATAAATGCTTTTAATAAAAATAAATGCTAACCTAGGGTTCTAAAAATACTTGGACAAGCTCTCTCAAGTCATGAACAAGTGTTTAGTTAAATTAATTGCTCAATTTTTTGTTACAATTAATAAAACTCAATTTTAAACACCAACCCTAATGTGGATATGCAAAGCTAGCAAGTATATCTCTATTTTACTAGCAAAACCATCCATTCAACATGCAAATATCAAGTTCTTACATAATTTTACTCAAGTTCTAAACTCAACCTAGCTCTCTCAAGCATCAATTAAGTAAACCCAACATCTAAATGATGGCCAATCACTTAGAAGCATTAAGAAAATAGTAAAATAAGCACATATATATCATTAATCATAAAAAGAGAGGAGGAACATAGTGTTAATCCATACAAGTGTTCCAAATAATCCTAGAACAAAGGGTTTAGCTACTCATAATCACCCACAAGCTACAAATTTACATAATAAGTAGATCCATTTCAGATTAGAAGAGAGGAAAGGGAAGAGGAATAGAAAAGCTGAAGAAAATGAGTTCCAAATGTCTTCAAAGCTTCAATCTCTTGATCCCAACTCTTCCAATACCTAAACCCCAGTACAACCAAGCTTCAAATGTGTTTAAAAGTTTTAAGAATACATTCTAGGTTGAGCTTTCAGTAGATATATGTCCTAGCAATCCAATTTTTGATAAATGAAATGCAACGTTTTTTTGACAATGATAAAAGTCGCGAAAAAAAGTTACAACTTTGGGACGACTTTAACAGTTTTGCACTGTTTTTGTAACTAACGAAAATCATTCATTTTATGCTTATTTTTTCATCCAAAAGCCTTCTAAAAATATTCATAAAGCTCCAGAAATGCTTCTAATCAAAACTTCAACCAAAATAATGTGAAATTAGGCCAAAAATATCAAATCAAAGCCAAGAATACAAACCTAAAACAGAATACACATTTTTCTAATTTGGGCAATAAAAACACATTCAATTGAGTTAAAATGAATTAGAATCTAAGAAAAATGTGATGAAATAACATGAAATTCTAGATGTTAACAACACGTGGTTTGAAATTAGGACACTCGGGTTAGTGAAATTAACTTAAAAAGGTCATTTTACATTTGAGTGTCTAATTTTCAAATGAGATATTGGATTTTAAGGAAAGAAATGTTATTAGTTGGATGTTGAAATAAATTTCATGTGGGCGCTTGAATCACCCTAATCAAATATCTATAAAAAAATGGTGCACATCTAAAGTTCGTGTTAAATGTGTTGTTTGATAGTAAAATCTAATAAGTGCACCATGGTGCATGGTGCACATGCTGCAGCATATAGCTCAATTTGCCTTAACTCAATGTTTTTAATCTGTTTTCCCTTTTTATGCCGTATATGCAGTCCTTATGCTTCCACTGAGCATATATAGGTATTTTTAAATAATGTTAAATGGTTTTCTAAAAGATTTTATGGGATCCCAACCTTTTAAATTAATTGATTTCATGTGATATACAATAACCTAAATGGAATAGGGGTGTTGAATCGTATTGTTGTAAGGGCATTACAATCATTGACAAAGAGCTTCCAAAGTGTTGGAAAAAGCTTAAGAAATACATAAGAAACAAGCACGTGCCTGACTACTACTACAAGAAGTTAAAAACAAGGATGTAGTTGTTCAACCAAGGTTTAATGATCATGAAGGAGAACGCATATGAGCTTGATCAACTTAAGATGTGAGCTGGAGTATATGAAGATGATAAAGCTTCAAATACCTAAAAATTATTAATGGACTTAGGCTAAAAATCATAAACAAATTGAATATGTACATTTGTACCTTTGTAGAAAAGGAAGAGCTTGTACACAAAGCCATTAAAATTGAGAAAAAGTTTCAGGAGAAATGATTAAAACCTTTAACTTTTAATTGTAGAGACTCAAAATCAACCTCCAAACTAAATGATTCTAAGGCCTAAGAAGAATTTGAGTCTATGCCTAAGGCTAAGGAAGAATCCAAGTCCAAATATGATGGTGGTAAGGTATTTGATTCTAGAATATCTTCTACTACTAAAACATTTTCTCTCAAATGCTATACATGTCATGAAAAAAGGCATATTACTTCTCAATGTCCTAACAAGCAAGCTATGATTCTTAAGGATAATGGGGAATGTTATAGCCAGCACACGAGTGATGAGGATGAATATGAAGGCATGCCTCATTTCAGTAATGCATTTAACCTAGAAGAAGGCATATCAATAGGTAAAACTTTGGTTACCATTTCTTCCCTATGGGTGCAACCCTAAGTAGAGAAAGAACAAGAACTCAAGAAAAAGAGAAGTTCAAAAACTAGCTCCAATTCAAAGGAGATTGAATCTATAGTTATTGTTGTCCTTGATAATGAGTAGTTGAATCATCAAAAGAGGAATAAAACTTGAATATTGAAAATCATGTAAATAAATGCATAAAAGGAGACTTTCTTATTTCAAGTATCATACTTTTAGTTAAAGTAAATCGCTTCAAACATAAAGAGAAAAGTGAACATATGAGTAAGAGTAACTTGAGTGAAAATATTCAAGAAAGTGAATATGAGTTAGAGTAACTTGAGTGAAAATATTCAAGAAAGTGAATATGAGTTAGAGAGAGAAGAACAACAAAATGAAAAAGAAGGAGAGAAAAATAAAGAAAATGAGCCAGAGGCTAAAAAATAACAAAAGGGAGAGGTTGAGAAAGTTTCATGCATTGACATTCTTAATCATTCTTTTTCTAGTTATATTGGTTCTTCATTACAAGGATTTAATTATGCATTAATCGAAGTAGATAATAAATATACAAGCTCACTATTTGTAAATCCTCAAGAGATGAGGATGATTCCTCTTTAAGAAGAGGATAATGATGTGATTCTGGATGGCAACTTAGTTGGCATCCAAGATATCATCCTAAGTAGCATCCAAGATGGCATCCTACATAGCATAGATGATAGTATATGTAGCAATAAAGTCCTCGGTGGCATGCCATATCATTGAGTTATCCCAAGTCAAGTCATCCACGTAAAGGAAAGTTCAAGTAAAGCTATTTATATTTAATATTCTATAATACATAGTGGAAGCCACATTATAGGCCCAATACATAAGTATACACTTGGAGGAGGTAAATTAGGCCATAATCTTGTAAACATTTCTTTATTTGATACATGTAATTCAAGGATAAATCCTTTTCAAGATGAAAGAAATGATGAGAATCAAGGGACGAGTTAGAATCTAACACTTAATACCCTTAATTCATTGCAAGGCATTAAAGGACCAATAGAGCCAAGAGGATGAAAGAAACTCTAAATTTATTAATTAGGGATGTTTTAAATGATCAAAGAGTCCTAAAAGCAAATGAAATTCTAGAATATCCAAAAAAGACTCTTAGCATATTGGTCATAACCCAAGGTACTCAGGCCCATAAACCCAATTAGTTTAGTTAGAGCTAGTAATTAAAGCTTCCCAAGAAATTTAAAGCCGAATTTGACTATGTAGGTTTTTTTTAAAAGAGTAGGATAATTTAAGTTCGACCTGAATAAGTTTAGCACAAATTTTGGCCACTATCTCTATATGTGTAAAGTCAGTAATTTTGTCAAGCCTAATGAGCCACCCCGAGCTCAGCTAAAAAAAGTTAAGACGAGACTTGACTATGTGGGCTTTTTTAAAAAGATAGAATACTTTAAACCCTACCCGCTCGAATTATTGGATCTAAGTATAGTCATTATTTTTTCCCCTTAAATTTAGGAAAATTAGTTTATTTTGTCTTAAATTCAAATAATGATAAAATATATCCATTAAGGATATGATCTATCCATTTGGAATCCTAAATTAACTAAGATTACATCATTTAGATTTTTAGAAATCTAATTAAGCCATTTGTATTTAGAAGACTTAATTAAATTTATGAATTGATTTTTCTTTCAATTCATCAATTGGTGTTGTTCTCCACGAGATAACATACCATGGGACTTCAAATTATCATGAGCTATCGTTTGGTTGCCTGTATTACCTAATATCAATCATGAAGGAATGGAGATAGCATAATATCAATCCAACATTGTATTGCAAGAATTGAACTTTGTTCCACGCAAACAAGATCTACTTAATTTTTTGTGTCGTTACAACATTTTATTTTTGCCACATTGCCATAAGATCAATTATGTTATATGGTAATAAATGTTAAATTTGAAAGGACAACATCAGGATTAAATCAAAGTTCAGAGAAACGTCTAATTCAAACATTTAGTTTTGAACATATCTAATAGAATCATCAGGTTAATCATACGACGTATCGATAGGTTATATATATGCCAGCAGTTTCACTTTTTCGACTGATCCTAACAACCTGTCCACATTTCATTCCCAAATATCTAGCAACCGGATCAGTGACCTGAATTCTAGGAAGCTGAAAGAAGAATAATATATAACATTAGTGTCTATTCAAATTTAAAGTTTAAACAGGATCAAAATATGAGACAAAATCTTTATTTGAGATATTCAGAAAAGTTCAGAGAAATTAAATAGCTTTGCAAGCATGAAATCCATTGTACTGCCTTTTAGCATCAGATCCAATTCAAGTTAAAATGCATAAAACTAGAAAAATTGTACTGAGGCATATTCATCTCTTTATTTAGAGAAAACATAATGTTTGGTTTCTATAATTTTATAAAATTTTACTTTTAATCTTTATAATTTATTTTCATTGCTATCAATCCCTCTCATTTCTACAATCCATGTTAGTTCCTCCTATCATTAACAGTGTTAAATTCATTGAGGTGTAATTAACACTGTTAAATATTATGATGAGGTGTTAAATTTTGTCTAGTTGGCACATATGACTCAACATTTGTTGGAATAAAAAATAAAAGAAAAAAAAAAACAACATATTTGAGCTGGGTCAACTCATCTCATTCAAACCCATTCAGACCCCATGAACCACTCACCTCCCTCATCTCTTCCTTAATCTGCATAATCTCCATTCAAACCCATCAACCACTCATCTCATTCCGCGCGATCAACGGGTGACGACGGTGAAAAAGGGAGGTCATCAGGTCATCCATCTCCGATGCCATAGCTGACCCTGACGACAGCACCAATTTTTTCCTAAACAGGGAAATCAGCTTTGTTGAAATTCCAATTCAATGTGGTGACCTCCATAGCCAGGTTCGTGAACCCGACCCGATTCTCTCCCTCCTCTATTGTATCACCATTTTGCTCAGCGGAAGCCTCGACGCAGCGTACAGAGAGCCTAGTGGTGTCAAAGGACGTCATTTTCTTCCTAGGCTGAAAATCACAGAGCTTGGAGGAGCAGTGGGCGAGAGCTGCAGCAAACAATGTGGTTGCTGAATGGTTGGGAATGTGAGAGGAAACTCCATTACAGAGTAGGACAATTCAAAAGTTGAGAGATAGAGTCATATCTCACAACTAAAGCTGAAGCTGAAGCAGACTTTTTCCCTGTTTGCGGTTCGATTTCCCTATTTGGCTGGAACACGTAGCTCCGTCAACGATTGGGACCCACCTTCACTATTCCGGCGAGTTTCCGTCTCCGTCCGATGAGCTCTTCGGCGTCCGACTCAGATTTGGCTGTGGGGGTCCACCGGTTGAGTGGCCTAACGCCGCGAACGAGAGGTCTCACGAGTATATTGTTCTTTCCTTTTTTTTTTTTTTTCCTTTCTTTCTTTGGGTCATGCACGAGTATGTTGTTCTTATTTTTATTACAGCTCAATTATTTTGTTTTTTTTTTGTTTTTTTTTATTCCAACAAATGCTGAGTCATATATGCTAACTGAATAAAATTTAACAACTCAGCATAGTACTTAATGGTGTTAATTACATTCAGAGAATTTAACACCATTAATGATTGAAGGTACTAATATTATGGATTGTAAAAATTAGAGGGATTGGTAACAACAAAAATAAATTATAGAAATTAAAAGTAAAACACTATAAAACTATAGGACCAAACATTTTGTGTTTTTACTTTTACTTATTATAGATGACTATTTCTAAATCATTAGAAAAATTTCCCAACCGTCAGTGTCACCTCATACAGATGACAAGTTCACAAAGACACCCCGTACCATGTCCCAACTCAATGTTAGTGTACAGATGAGCATGGTCTGGTTCCATAACTTCTAAAGTATGCATACAAGAACAAGAAGCAAATTTCCCTGTGATATTATTCTGAGAAAATCACTCTCAAATCCCACGTAAGCAATCTAAATACAGAAAAATTCCTTAAAATCATAAAATTATCCTGACGTCTCGTATCTTTTACTAAAGTTCTCAATTACAACAGAATAGTTGATAATTATTACTGCTTAGTTGTCAATTGAATAACTGCACTAACAACTATCTAATAATAATTGATAACTTCAATATAGTAAATTGACAATTTCAGTAAAAGACATTAGATTTTAGAGTAATTTTGTTATTTTATGGAACTTTTATGTATTTAGATTCCTTGTGTTGGACCACAAAGTGTTTTTTTCCTATTATTTTAGCAAGGCCCAAGGCGACGGAATTTAACCGAGTATTTGGCACCCTGATTTCTTCCAATAAATCTAAATGAAACGTAAAGGTTTCTTGGGCACCTGATATTTTTCCCATATAATACAGTTGAGAGAAAAATTGGCAAGGCCAAGGCCAATGGCAGAATTAGTATTATGACCAGATTGAAGGATATCTCATCCTCTCAATAACAGAAAATCAATATAAAACCAAATATCAGCAAAAAGAAAAAAGGCCACAGAAGATGCCCTCAAAAGTACTCGCATTGAAATCAAGTTTTAACATACTGACCTGAGTTTCTTTCACAGTATATCTCTCGAGTAACGTTTTCTTCTCCAAGTCAGTAAGCACCTCATGACGAGGAACAAGGTCATGGCTTGTTACGTTGACCAGTAGTTCTGATTCCTGTATTAATGGAGCTACTTTTTAAAGAACTTGTTATTCCACACACACATAAAACATAAGTTTAAGAATAGAAAGCAGATCCGCCAAATTTCTAGCTTTCAAGGCCTCCTAAATGCAAGATAAAATAAATAACCCACCAACTGAGAAATTAACATCAGATCGAGAACAAAGCTCCTGAAACAATCTCTAACATATTCAATCTTCATTTAGAAGAGAAGCCAACTAAGAGGATTGACAGGAATTCAGCTCAAGGGAGAGGGAAAGAAAGCTGCATAAGAAATCTAGTGCTATGGCTCAAGATTGACAGTTTTCATTTTTCAAGTTCAAGATCACTAAGTAAATTGTCACCTGAAAAACCTCCAAGTGAAATTTTGAAGATATTTCAGCAATACAGCTCCGGGCAAACGGAGTCAAATTCTGTTGAACAACCAAGATTGCTCTGAATACATTCTCTGATTTCATGCGGTTGGTGTATGTCTTCATTGTCTTAACTCCAACCTTAGCTTCGTCAGGGAAAAAAACATAGATCTGGTACAAGCGCAACCAATTGAAACATTAAACACGGAGAAAAAGAAACCATGCACATTAATCATGTGCCCATAATCTTGTTAGCTGTTACAGACTGCATAATGTTAACTATGACTTTGGATATTCAACATACAACATGCATAATGTTAACATAATCTTGTTAGCTATTACAGACTGCATAATATTGAACTGCAAGTAGAGATTTTGGCTGATTCTTCATACTAGCTAAGTTATGCGTGACATAGGTCTGATGAGACTGGACCGGGGGGGGGGGACTTTTATGCTTGATATATCACAAGATAAATGAATTTATTCATGGATTATTTATTGTAGGAGTAACTTTTACTATCAATATAGTTAAATTGATTTTAAATTTGAAACCCACGTATTCTGACCCAATTTAATAAAAGCATATTAAATGTATAAGTTTTAAGTGTTGTCCACAGGAAAAAACTAAAATACATTATGCACGTGATTGGAGTCCTATAAGAAAAAGCCATGATAACACAGAAAATCCAATGCTTAAGCTGACATTATTATGCTGGGCATTCACAATTATTCTTCTTTTCAATGTAGTCCTCTGGTAATATCATAATGAAATCCATGGTTAAAACAAGATTCTTTCCAGTTAAGGTAAAAAGTTTTAATTGTCACTAAAGGCAAGGTTTCAGCATCAGCCTGTGGAGTTCAATCAGACATAAGCACCAAAAGAATTGAACGATTCCCCCCAAACATGACATTACCTTTAACCCCCAGTAGGAAAGAAAAAAAGCTGGAAGCAGAAAATGAGAATGAGAGTAATAATACCTGGTCGGAGCTATTATCTTTCTTAGCTTTATTGATAACGAGGTCCTCCCTTTTCATGTTCTCAGAAAATTTATGCCTGAATTCATTCTTCGACATGTTAATCTCAAAGTCTGTAACGAGATAACCCCTAATCGACAGCATGTGCATCACTATCCCTCTGACTTTGTAAAGCCTATTGAATTCGTCCTCTGAGAGAACCATCTTTTCTTCTTGGTTGCAATGAAGCCTTCCTGGATGATCTCTGCGTGGTGGTGGCGGGAAGAGTATGTCCCTGTGAGAGGCCGCATAGGGATTTACAAGGAGAAAACAAATTATAAATAAAGGACTTCTTTTTTAGAATAAAAAATTTAAATAAAAAAATAATAATGGAGGATATCAACGATGTGTGCTGAAGATTTGGGGAGAAATTAAGTGAAGATTTAACATGATTCTTTTGAAATCAGTCGTATCCACATGTATGTGACATAAAATAAAATAAAAAATATTTAAAAAAATTAGGAAGAATTTCATTTAAGGACCACTATAGCTACTTAATTATAGGTAGGTTTAAAAAAATTCTGAAATTTTAGTTCAATTTAAAAGAAAAAAGATCAAAAAACCCTTCACTTGTTATGCGAAATCACTTATTTTCTTACTTTTTTTGTTAATTATCACTTGTAAATTACATTTATTTGTCAAACAATTAGTAACATTAGTTGTTAATTTGTTAATTTATTAACTTTACTTATTAATTTACTAACATTAATTGTAATTAATTGTAAATTACAAAACATGTCAATGATTTACAAATGATATTAATAAATTATAAAATCTATTAGTAATTTATAACTGATATTAGTAAACTAATAAGTAAAGCTAACAATTTAACAACTGATGTTGTTGCTTACGAATAATTGATGTCAAATCTTATATAATTATTAACATGTCAACTCATATAATTTGTAACTTATATTAGTAAATTAATAAGTGAAGTAAAAAAATTAGCAACAACTAATTTGCATAACAAGTTAAGGGTATTTTAGTCATTTTACTGTTAAAATTCTTGACTTTTCTTTCTTAAATTGAATTAAAATTTTAAAATTTTTTGAACACATCTATAATTAAGTAGCTACTGTAGGCCTTAACTGAAATTCTCCCAAAAAACCATGCGTAAAGATTGATGGAATTATTCGTTACTATAACTGTATAACCGAATCCGAATGTGTCTCCCGGAAACTGGGGTTTATGGAATTTCTAGGCCTTTTTAGAGCAATGGGGAGATGCTTTTTTTTTCTTTATATTTTTATTTATCCCTTTTGAATTGTTAATTTTTTATGTTATTTGTTTTGAGTCAAATATTTATTTAATATTTGTATATTTAGTGAAATCATTTTTTCATGGGTTTGTTTAAATTATGATTTTGAATTTCATGATGCTTTCAATTATTTTTTATTAATTAAATGCATTACCTTTTATTATTAAAATTCTTCCCCCTACCCGTCCTACTTCCGCTCCGCTTATTGCCCTATTTCGAGGCACTAGTTAATACTCAACAGTCAATGGTGATTAGATTAAAATATAATTATTATATATTTTAAATAAGGATAATAAAATATAATAAAAATAAAAGGGAAAGCTTATAATTTAAGACAATTAATCTTATACACTTATATATTTAAAGTGATCATTTTTAATTCAATCAAGACATGTTAATTTTTTATAAATTATTTATTCAATAACAAATTCTTATTATTAATATTATTAACACATTAAAATATATTTATTTTAATTTGATTGAATAAAGGTATATTGAGTATATAAGGCTAAGTATCTAAGTCTCACCCTTAAAGAAAAGTAAAAATTACAATTTAAAACATTTAATAAATATTATATAATTTAAAGATTGATATTAAATAATTATAAGATAAGCTATATCTATCATGTATATACTTACATTATAATTTAAGTTTATATTTTTGTTTTAACAAGTTTTGTCACAAAATATAATTTTTCTTAATATCTGTTTTATTAAATTAAATTATATTTTGTGAGTTAAATATTTTTGGGTGAATTAATGAAATTGTAATACTAACATGTTGCCTTTGAACAAAAACTGAAGCATCCTTGTCTTTACACGCGTAGTGATTAGGATTTAAATTTAACGGAACGTGATTAATATTTTAAGATTTTAATTTTAATTTTAATATCAAAAATATAGCAAGGTCATTTTTTTTCCCCCCTCAGAAATCAAGATTCCTTGTTATTTGCTCTCTCCTGAACCAACTATAAAATAACCTTATACAATTAATGCAGATAAATTTGGATCCAGTGAATAATTTAAATTCACTCACTCAATAAATGTCTCAATATAATCATTAAATTTCATCAATACTTTAAAATTATCAAACTACATTTCTTTAAAAATTTAAAATAATCATCAACCCCTAACAACTATTTTCCTCCTTGAAAAAAAAAATTAAGATTTAATACTTTTTTAAATATCATATAATAAAATTTCTTTCAAATGTTCGATTAAATTAACAGTTGTTATTGCATCACATAAGACGCTCCCTGAATAAATAAATTTATGCCACTCCCTAAAACTAAATCCGAAACAAAAACCCAAGAATATGTGACTCAATTAAAATAAGGAATTTGACTTAAATAAAATGTATAGAATTTTTTTTTTTTTTACCAGCGAATAAAATGTATAAAATCTGAGGGAAGAGTTTTCAAACAACTAAACACACACCAAAATGTGCGTAAAGAAATACATGAGGCCTGTTTAGTGTAATGTTTAAAGAGTGAAAATATCAAAATTGAGAGACAAAGTAGTTGATTAAAACACTGGCTCATACACAATTTTCTATTTAGCAAAGGGTCTGCACTACATCAAAGTGTTAGAGAAACCCAGTCTGACTCATTCACATGACAGCTTCAATTATATTCCCAGAAAAGAAAAAAAAAAAGAAAAGAAAAAGTTGTGTTGCACAAATCAAACAAAGGAATCATAGATACAAGGGCGTGACAAGAAGCAGCCATTCATTTTATGGCAGCACTGGCAGGCATCCACATCGATTAGACTCATCTGCACCATAAAATGATTCTACAGATGGATGGTTATGGCCTCCTCTAGAGCTCTCAACAACAAAAATAGGCCAGAAACACATCCCAATATAAAAAAAAAATCACTCCAAATGAGATTTATAGGACAAGAAACCCCCTGATGGCTTCACTCCAGAAGACACTCTTCCTTGATAAACCATAACTCATGAAGACAATTGGAACCTGCCACTTGGCTTTTTTCTTTTCCATCCCTGAATTATTTCAAGTTAACTCATCTGTATCAGCAAGAATGATAACCAATAACTAGAGGAAGGGGGAAAAAAATCAAGAGAACTTACAAAAGCAGCATAATATATGAAGGTCAGTCCAGCCAGTACAACAAAAGCAATCTGAAATACATTGTACCTGTAATGAGATAACCAGAGAGTCAAATTACATCAGCAAAGCATAAATGATGCCATTTGGTTAAGAATAATGGTATAAGAACTAATCTGACGAGAAAATTATAAAGGTGGCCGAGCCTCAACTCCACATTAGATGAGGGTCAAAATAAGGGGTCATCACATTGGGGTCTAAATTTACAGGCTCGCCCAGAATGAAAAGTCTCATTTTTTGCCCCTCTGGGGGAATGGGGATTGGACAGAGATCCAGCTTAACTCACTTGTATAAATATTTAATTCCACGAAGAGATTCCAAGGTATGACCAAATATTTCCTGTGCTGCAGTTGCTCGGGCATAGTAAGCAAATGCTGTGGAGCAGAACTGGATAACACTGAAAAAGTAAAACCGTAGAATTCTCAGCAATACAGCCACAGCATGACAAATGCTTTCAGTCGAACTCATAAATAATAGTACTCAGACAACGACTGAAATAATTTCCTTTGCTCATTCACGTTTTTTATGCAAGAAATTCAGAGCCTAAAATATCAACCACTTTAAATTTGCAATAATAACCTATATTTTCCAATTATGTAACCAAAGATAAAATTGACAGAAATATTTTTAGTGTTGGTTATGCAGACCTAATGGAGCAGAGAAGGATAAGTCCCACATTAAACAGAAAAGAATTCATCAGAGTGGCTCCCCACCTGCCAAAATTAAAAAATAAAAAATAAAAAAGAATTTCAAATCATTAGCAGTCATAAAGAATGAAAGCAATACATATTTAAAGCGTCAAAAAAAGAATGGTAGCACAAATCAATTACTTCATGGGATGAATAGTAATGAAAACTAATCTCAGCCCAAGCATCATGGCACCAGCAATGACAGCAAGGAGAAGGTAGAAGCAGAAAAATGCAAATGCAGCAGTACCCAGAAGACCTGAAATTAGAGCAGAATATAAACATTAGATGTTAGTTGCAAAAACATAAAAACTAAAATACGCTGTGTCTATAATTGTAATTAGCTGGTGTGTAAATGACCAAACAAGCATTGGTGTTTTAACTAACCCCAAATATCATCTAGCTTGATGAAAACTTCATTCAGGAAAGGAGAAAGAGGAGGATCGATTAAAAGATATATAATGATATGAGCAATCCATGCCACAGATACAATCAACCTGTTCCAGTTTGAGATGTTAGATTGTTCATAAAAATAAACATACGAGTTGCAACCATAAATAGTCCTGATTAAGGTGAAAGAACATAATATCTAGCAATGCATGAACTCCAACTTAAGTCCAGAATGCATAATTGAACAAAACATCATCATCAAGAGCATCCTTTATCAAGCAAACCAGTTCTAAATAAAGAAACAAAGTTTGTCTACAGAACCCCAGATATTTTGCAATTTGAAGGTAAACTGATTATCATTAATCACATAAACCCTATCTATCATCAGCTGTTCCCTTTAAAACCATTTGCAATAAATTACATAGTTCAACACGCAAGGAGGGGGAAAAAGGTCATACAGTATAGCCAAACCATTTCCTCCCATAAGGAGAGAAAGACAAAAAAGACAGGCTACATAATCAAAACAAGGAGCTTTTCAAAACCAAGTACAAGTAACCAATGTCATTCAGCACCAAGCAGTTCTTACAGAGCACACAGATGTCTCTATCATTGGGCTCTGTATCAGGGGAACTTTAGTAGAATTTGAAGCAGCTCCCCCTCATTTGAAAGTCATCACAGTAACAGGGAGCTAGGTCAGGGATGGTATGTTAAAATGTTTCTATTGCACCTTAATAGCTGCTTTGATTTTATTTTTTTTTATAGAAATTCAAAGTA